CTCGGGGAAAACCTGCCCCAGCGCCAGTTTGTCCACCACAAATCCCACTTGACCAGACCCGGGATCGAACCCGGGCCGCCGCGGTGGGAAGCCAGCGACTAACCGCTTGAGCTATGGCGCGGCCACGCTTGCGGACATTACCTAGCAACAGCTGTTTATCTGTCTCCACAGTTCTTGCTTTGGTCAAATACACCACATTATATGATGAATACGATTTTCTGATCTGTAATTCCTTGTGATTCAGTGGAAGATATCGCCTCCATTTTCAGAACTGGAAGCTAAACCGAGCAATAAACCAGAAGAAACAGGCGTAAACTGAACCTTATCTTACACTTGGAACCCTTCATTTTGAAACGATATGTTCCTCCGAAACGTCGGACTCTCTCCGAACAATATGGCATTACAATCCAGAAGAATGCAGTCTTCATAGTCACCGCTCTGAGAACCTCAAAAATGGAAAATATATTTAGTTATATGCTGTAAATAAATGTGTTATTTCGTTGTAATTATAATAATAATTTGATGGGCTGTTATTATGGATACGTTGTGGAATATGAGGCAACCAGTTTACCACTCCGTAAACTGGAACCGCCACTTTTGTAACAATGTATACTGAGTAAGATTTGAGGCTTTCACGGCGGTGACTATGAAGAAAGCAGTCTTCTGGGATTTGGCACCGTGTATATGTGGTGTTAACCGACGTTTCGGAGGAACGTATCGCCTCCATCTTCAGGGTAGAAGATGGAGGCGATACATTCCTCCGAAACGTCGGTTAACGCCACATATACACGGTGCCAAATCCCAGAAGACGGCTTTCTTCAGTGTATACTGATATCAAGGTAATGATAGTTTTCTTTTCTTTGCAGTTCTCGGAATGGACGGATCATGACAGAGGCATCACCGACTCCAGTGAGTACACTCATCTGTTCGTGCTTGTTTCGCATCTTCAAAGAGCATAAAAATATCCGTGCATTTGAACTGCAAACTACTGTCTCACTGTTCTCTCTCCGGGTGTGAAACCTGGGGAATGAAGCGGACACTTAAGAAGAGGTTTTGTGTCTGTGCTCTTCGCCGGTGAAACATTTTATCGTTTCTTAGGTGGAATAATGAATTTACTAATATTGTCACGTTCAGTTGGAAGGTATCCGCCGTTAGGAGAGGACGGAAGCAGAGAAATTGCCATTGTTAGGAGCCGTTACAAGGCAACTGTTAATAAAACATTGCAGGCTGGAAAAGATTTAACGTGTGCTCTAGTATATTGTAAAATGTAGTTACGAGTCGTGAGTGTAAAATGGTCAGTAAATCGCATATCCAATTCAAACCCCCGTCGAGAATCACTCATACACGTGAGAATATGCTTATTTAATTCTTATAATAATCTTAGTCACCGAACCGTTCGGCCGTTTAATGTGATCTGTACGTATCTTTTTATCATAATCTCAATAAACCGTGAAATTTCGAATACTTGTTAAACTGCTCATGACTATTAATCGGCCAATAATAACTTTATGGACCACGTTTATTACGTGCAATATAAGTTCTGTTGCTTATTCCCTGCGTTGAAATGTGTCTTTACGGCGTCCCTAGCGCAGTTCAGAATGCTTCTCCCCAGACCTCAACGCGAAAAATTTAGAACATGAATATATCGCACAACAGATCTGCTTCAATTCAGCAACAAATTATTTCATATAAAATTTGCCAACATTTTTAGACTACATTTCTGAAATAGGTTGATGGCTTTCCATGCTGTCTGTGTGTATATTAATCCCCACCGTCATCAACTTTTGAATGCCGGATCCAACTTTATGGAACTTGGTATACATATCATGGAATTTAAGCCCATCTCAGCGGCTTACTTCATAAATCCCTCACATCAATCTGTGTATCTGTATATATATAGCCCCTGTCATTGCTAAGCAACGGGTTTGTAAAAACGTAACTGCGGCAATGAATACACAAGCAACAGTAGATGAATTGTTGAACGCGTAGTTTTTCTATGCGGTCCGTGTCGTATATAGTAAAGTAGGCGATATATTCTTCCTGAAACTCATTGTTTTTTAATCAGTAAGAGCTGCTAACCCATTTGGGGGCCACAGATATTTGGGTTTTGATACGTATATTAGCCAACAGGAATTTTTTATGGAATATCATATTTAAGAGCAGCTTATAACGATATTCTGCAAGTTCTATCTATTATGTGCAAGTTTTAAAACAAAAAATACATCATTCATATCATAAGGACTGCACAAATGATAACGGATGACAAAGGAGTTACTATCTCGTCTCTGGAGCGGCCTCCGTAATCTAGGGGTAACGTTCCCACCTTATGACTCGTAGTACGCGGGTTCAAACCCGGCAGAGGTCGTGGAATTTTTAAGGGCGGGAAAATTCAGGGAACAAGTCCTCCGGGAGGGACTTTAAGCCGTGGGTCCCATGTCGTAGATTTACGGCACGTAAAAGAACCTCATGTCTCTAGGAGACCTCTGAGCTAAATTAGGCAAAAAGTTTCCCGTCCAAGTAGCTTCCAATGCCTCCGGTAGATGGGGGAAGTATTAGGTACGGCTGCCAGAGGAGGGCCGACATCGCTGACAGAAAGGGACTTATTATCAGATACCACTGCCAGTAGAGGGTCTAAACCTCGCTGGCTGATAGCGAGCACCAGTACTGTTAGGGTATGGAGACAGTAGAAATGAAAAGGAGGACGTACAATAGACTATTGGTCGCGGTGCATGGGGAAACCCACTCCCTCAATACTGGATAACTGGATACCATCTCGTCTCGATCGACCTTGACTATGTTGCCTTGGAAAGGAACCCGGTTGTTGTGCGCTAGGCCGATATTGCCCCCCCCCCCAGTATCTGTAAGGCTGGAGAGAATTTATGCGTATTTGGTATGTATGAGTTTATCCATCCCGGGTTCTTGTTCGATGAATATGAACATCGTAGCAGAAAAAGTGGGAGACCTTCAAATGGCGATTTTCTCGGAAATACGTCTTAATATTTTGATTAAATTTCAGTAAGTTACGGAGATCATGTCCCTAAATAAAACCACATATACAGAGTGGCCTAGAAGTTAGTTATCCTGAAACATTCTCTCGTATTACGAGGAATGTTCAGACTTAAACGTGTCAGTCAATTCGTATAACATTGTCATGGCGTTGTGAGTTGTGTGCGGAACGTGAAGGCTGTCATTTCGAAAAATATTTGTATGTTCAATAAGTAATAGATACATTTCTAACGTATTTTAGGCCGGTCACGGTAACTGAACTGTCTGAGGCATGTATTGTTTTCGAGACCGCGCCATACCTCAAGCGGTTAGTCGCTGGCTTCCCACGGCGGTGGGCTGTATATGTTTATAATTTAATGTGACTTTTGTCCCCAACTTATGTATGATAACTATACCATTAATATTTTCTGTAGTCAGAGAAGATATCTTAAGAGTCCCCAAGTAGACGATCAGCAGATCACGGTGGCCGCGCGGTCTCAAGCACGAACAGTCTTCGCCCACTCCATCGCTGAGGTCGTGGGTTCGAATCCCACTCTAGGCATGTATGTCTCTGTGCGTTTATTCTGTGTGCAGGTAGCGGCATTGCGACGGGCTGATTCCCCATCCAAGGAGTCCTACCGAAAGTGTATAGGATTATGAAACTGAAAAAGCAGCCAAGACCCTAAAGGCTATAGAGCCACAGAGAGAGACAGACAGATGAAGACGCTGGTTCCGTTCTGTGAATAGCTAATCAAGCTAATTGAGTGCTATTCGGCAGGCTTTGTCAACGTCGCAATTCCAAAAGAGAAAGTTTACAACGAACCTAAAAACAAATGACTCATCAAAATTCTCTTCCAACGTATACAAGCAATAATGGGAGGGAAATTCTCTGTAGTCTGACGGTAAATGTAACTTATTTGTTGGAAACTTGTAACAAATTGAATTAATTTGTTCTTCAACTGTTTCCTAGTCCTTCACAATGCAGTGTGACGTCTGCTTTTAATCGCTGGTGTAACCACACACACTCAGTGTAAATACAGAGTTAGTTAAAGACAATGGAACAACCTCATGGCACGTATTTTAATGAGACTATCAAACTTCCAAACAAGTTCCTATCGTTCCTTACAAGATGGCTCTGTATGTTTTCTTTTTCCTTCTGTGTAAGCATCGCTAGGCTTTCGCCATCTTACTGCTCTTCACTTCATGTTTATGTATTTTTATATTGCTAGTGGGGTGGGACTAAGTCCCTTGTACTGCGGCCACTTCTGGCCTATTGTACCAGCCCCAGATGATAGGTGAGCAATTGGTGGAATGAAGATTGGCAGGGGAAACCGAAGTACTCGGAGAAAACCTGCCCCAGCGCAACTTTGTCCACTACAAATCCCACTTGACCAGACCCGGGATCGAACCCGGGCCGCCGCGGTGGGAAGCCTTCGTGTTTATGTAACAAGCGCTCTGTTTCTCTCAGTTAACTGCTGACTGCTTCAGAGTCATACAGTTTCGGCGCGTCATACATGTACTTGTTTCTAAGCCCATTTTTAGGGAGGTCCCTTGTCTCCACGGCATGGCGCGCCCTCGGGTTGAAAATACAGAGAGTAGTTGCGAATATCAATATTAGAGTCAATTTTACCGACCACACAACATTATTATTATTATTATTACACTACATGTTTCAGTACTTCAGTTTCCCCTGCCAATCTTCATTCCACCAAATTCTCCATCATCATAATCACCTGGGGCAGGCTGCAATAGGTCAATCAGTGGCCACGTGCCGAGTGGACCCAGCTGGACTCCACCCCCCACTAAGCGAATTAAAAAGAAAATTTAAAAATCTTCCTGATTGCTTTCTTTGACATGTTCTTCGACCATGAATATTAAGGCTGTACATTCCTGCGACACCTCAGTGAAGTACCAGATTACACGGCGTGACATAATCACCGCCATGTGAATCACAAATTTCATACAGCCTCTCGTAGTGACATCATCATACCAGTTGGAACGCTGTTCCTAACGAGGTGCCTCTCTTCATCGTGTGCAATTACACAGAAGTGGGCCAGGTGGAATTTTAACTTGTCCCATAAATATGGAGCGGGCTTATTCGGCGTCTGTTTCCTGACAGCAAGTAACTGTACCGCTCGAGGCACGGCGCATCAAGTCCCAACGCTCTGTGTACGGCCATCAATCATGAGGCAGGCGTAATGGAGGCAGCTACCGGTCTATTACTTAATTGCTTCTGTTATGCATTTGAAAATCCAGTACTATCATCACTGTGTGCTCGTTTCTGATTAAAAGCTAGAAATTTCACATTGGTACAACAGTCGGAAATGGGGCACGCGATAGCGTATTTGGTTAAGACACTATGCTACAACTCGGAAGGTCGAGGAATCGAATCCCGATGAAGTGGATCTTTTTTTCAATTTACCTAATACTTCCAGCCGCACTATGACCCTGGGGTCGACTCAGTCTCTAACAGAAATGAGTACCATGAAGCTTCCGTGGGAGTGAAAGGGCGGCCGGCGCGTAAGGCTGGCAACCTCATCGCCATCTGTGAGCCGATTGTCTAGAAAATGTGGGAGCCTCGACGTCTCACAACCCTGTGTGCCCCCACGGCCTGTTACAGGGATAGCTGTACCTTTTTTACATCAGTATAAAGGAGGCGCTGGGCAGTGTAGTTGGTTGAGGCACTATGTCACAAGCCAGAAAGTCACGGGTTCGATTCCCAATGAGGTCACTCTTTTTCAATTGACCTACTCTATCCAGCCGCACTGTGGCCCTGGAGTCGACTCAGCCTCTAACAAAATGGAGTACATTGAACTTTGCTGGAGGTAAAGAGCGGCCGACCGGCGCGCAAGGCTGACAACCTCAGCGCCATCTGTGAGCCTCGAACTCTCGCAACCGTATATGCTTTCACGGCCTGTTACAGG